AGAGTAAATGGCGTTAAGCTGAAATCCTTCGACGTTGGCACTGGTCTCCGCCAAGACTGTGTCCTGTCCCTTCTCCTGTTTGTGTTGTACATGGACAGAATAATCTGCAGCAGCCAAAGCGATGAGGGTATCGGTGTACGAGATATGGAGACGAGAAGGTTGCTGCTTGCAGACGACCTTGCTTTATTCGCATCTTGTGAAACCGATCCACAGTGCTACCTGGAATGGTACACAGCCGAGTGCAACGTCACCGGTATGCGTGTGAACGTGTCTAGAACGAAAAACCTAGTGCTTTCTTGTTCACCTGCCCGCTGCATTTTTCAGATTAACGGAGAGGCAGTGGAGCAGTTGGAGAAGATCAAGTACCTCAGAGTCGTGTTCACGAGTAATGGAAAATTTTTTGAAGAGGTCGACCGGCGAGCTGGAGTAGCTGCTGGCTTTCTGCGTGAATTAGTCCGAACCACTGTGACTGAAGCACTACCGACTGCACTTAAACTAAGCAGAGCTGAGTTTGAAGACCATGCTGTCGGTGTTCAAGTGGATCTTGATTCCCATGCTCTGCTTGCATATTTACTTCCTGCTATAAGAACGTAGCTACTCTACTACTTATTAAGCTACTTACCACTTGCTTCTTCAGACTGAGAGGTCAAAGCTTCGATGGTTTGGGCACGTGTTGCGAATGCCTCCAGAAAGGAAAGCAAAGAAACTATTTCTTGTTCAGACGACCGGCAGAAGGGCCCAGCGGTCAGCCAAGGGTAACCTGGTGCAAATATACGGAAGGAGTCTGTTTCAGAATCCAGTTGTCTTCTGCCGGAGCTCAGACTCTTGCAGAGGATGGGGAACATTGGAAGCACTGTATGACTCGTCTGACTCCGCGACCCGAAAGGAGAAGGGGTCATGGAAGATGAAGATGAAAAAGTTATAGATAGATTTCGCTTCAGTCAGTCAGCTTCGATTGCCCGCCTATCCTTCAGCATCATGGAGACTGATGTAGCGCCAGACAGTGTCTTCGACTTTCCCGATCCTGTGACAGTGGTAGAGATTCGATAGAAGATAACCCTAGTCTAAAGCAGTCTTTTCACCTACTTGGTCTTCTAGAGCATGACATTCTTGGCCGTCGCCAAGGTTTTCTGCCGTCCTTTGGGCAAGTAATAATTGCTTATTCTTCCTTTCTGGAGGCATTTGCAGCCCGTGCCTAAACCATCGCAGTTGGGACTTCTCAATCTGAAGAAGCAGCAGCTGTTTAATAAAGCACTCTGGGATATCTGTAAACAGAACATGCCGAGGCTTCTGAGCCCAATGATTCACCATAAAGCCAACTTCAGCCGCTTGCACTCAGGATCGAAGCTTTCAGTCATGACCGTAAGTGAGCACGGGGATGAAGATCGACTTGAACACCGAGAACTTCAGACGCACGTCTGCTTAGAATACAATACGGATCCGTTGGCTACTACAATTCGCCAGTGCGTCACTTCTTTCCATTTTCCATCACAAGAAAACACGACCACAAGATACATGAACTAACTGACCAGATCCACTGCTGCTCCGTTTATCCGAGGAGAGCAACCGGCAGGAGAATGAGAAAGCATCAGGCCTTTCGTTTTAGACACATTCACATGCATAACAGATACCTCGCACTCGGCTGCGAACCTTTCCACATAACGCTGCAAATTAGTTTCAGAACATGTCAACACGACGACATGCCAACGAAACAAAATCGTCTGCAGACAGCAACCTTCTCGTCTCCACATCTCGTACCCTCATCGCCTTGGCTGCTGCTATTCTATCCACGTACAAGACAAACAGAGGAGGCGACAGACCGCAGCATCGGCGGAGACCAGTGCTATCGTCGAAAGGTCTCGACTTAACACCGTTTACTTTGTCGTAGCACCTGCTATCAGCATGTATTGATTGGATGGCCTGCAGGAGCTGGCGATTAATTCTACATGTTTGCAAGCACCCACATAATTTGTTGCTTGCGATCCGATCATAAACTTTCTCTAGGTCCACAAAGCACATGTAAACAAGATGAACGAACTCCCACGATTTCTCAACAATTCGGTGAAAGGGAAGACCTGGTCAGAGGTGCTGCGGCCTGACCTGAAGCAATACCACTCTTCTTGTATCTTAGTTATTCCGCAGCACCGCTTGCTTACGACACTTGCGTAGACTTGTCCCGGTAGACACAACATAGTAATGCTCCGATAACTGAAATACTCCTGATGGTCTCACTTCTTAAAACGGGGTATTACCAGCCCCATTCCGCAGTTCATTGATGTATTCCCCGTATCAACTACAGTTTGACAAGCACGTGTAAGCGACGACACGCTTCATCCTCCATCACCGCTTCTCCTTTCGGGTCGCAGAAGCAGACGCGCAAGCAGCTTCCAATGTTCCCGATCCTGTGACAGAGTCTGAGCTTCGGCAAAAGACAACTGGAGCCTGGAACAGACTCCTTCCATATATTTGCACCAGGTTAATCTTGGTCGTCCCCTGGGCTTTCTGCCGTTCGGTTTCGCGACAACATGCTTTATACAAATAATGCTTGAAGCATTTTAAATTTCCCTAACTTTCTTAAAATTGTTTCGAGAAATTTTGAAAAGTGGCCTAAAGATTTGGGAATAAAGTAACTAGTTGAATAATTCGAACGCTACTTACAAAATATATTAGCAATTCTATCTAAAAAAGAAGTTTAACTTTTAGTTAAGCAGTTAGTTAGTTACTTTTAGCACATTTAAGAAACCTCGCCTACCCTGTACGATTTCCTGTTTTCCGTATTCTAATTTTATTCAGAAATTCAGAATACACCAGTCAGCAATGATACTTCGATAGTCAGCAATGATACTTTGCTATTGTGATGAGTAGGCAATTTAGCAACAAGGTATCAGAACTGCATTATGAAGAATGTTCAAAATCATTGCATGTTCGTTTTCAACCATTCAACTAACTTTAAGCCGTTTTAGAAGTGTTTTGAAGGAGAAAATAATTTTGTTGCCCGATATGGGATAAAATTTAAAGTACGAAAAAACCGAAAACAGCGCTATGTACCAACGATGGCGTAAATAACCAATGAATCTTCCTAGATTGAAATTCACGGCGTATCCCACGGCATCCTTGCTCGAAGCTGCCTAAATGAGCATAGAGGGATATTTGAGCCATTCACAGCTGCTTGGTATTTGATAATCTGTAGCGACAGATGCTTCTCGCATTATTTTGTACGCTCGAGCCACGGCGTGTTAATTATAAGCAACACTTTACTGGTTGGTACCCTTTCTTTGCTACCTGTGAACATCAGAAGCTGTTAGCATTCAAGAGGATGCGAAATATTGAATGATTTCTATAAGATCAGATTTTACTGGGTATCACACAATCCTCTTGCTCTTAGAAGTTGCCACTGTCGTTGTTATCGTCATCTAAGGTATTAGGTTCTAACACCCTGTACTTACATTAATGATGTCAATCATCATGCTCCTCAATGTGCTTAAGGGGCAAGCTCAGTAGACCACACTTCATGCATTGGTACTGCAGTGCTCCAACATAACGGCGGAATGGTCTGCTTAAATGGCCCCCAGCCAGCTAGCAGCTACAGACCTGTGCAATATCCCATGAAATATGGTATACGATGCATCATTCGTCACTTAAAATACTCGTGCATATATGCAGCTTACGATGTAACAGCAAATGTATTTCA